GCTCGTTACCATCTGTGGCTGCTCGTTACCATCTGTGGCTGCTCGTTACCATCTGTGGCTGCTCGTTCTGCTCTTCCTACCTTCAAACTTTCCTCATCGTTCTACTTTGTCAATTTCTCTTTGAATCTTATATGTCGTTATCATGTCTCAGCTCTTCCTCCCAAATTCCCACGGCATTTCCTTGTAGCTCAAGTCTCTCAACTTACTCTCAACTATGGCAGCATGGCACATTCTGCTACTGCTACAGCATGCTATATAATGCTGCCATAGAGTAAGCCTTGATGTCTTTAATTTTTGTTTTTTGTTTTGGATTTTCTCGTTGATAGGGAAGAGAGAGGCGTAGCCCATGAGCTGAAGCTCACCCTGCCAGTACACGTACGTGAGAATGCACTCTCTCCCACACACACACACACACACACACACACACACACACACACACACACACACACACACACACACACACACACACACACACACACCTTCATAAACACTTGTGCAATACACAAAGCAAAAAAAGAGCAGGATTTGGTGGTGTTCTGGAATACATTATCAACCTGGCCAGATATAATGATCAGTAATTGTGTGGAGGACAGGGCGGAGGTGGCCACTGGGCAGACCTGCCCTGTGTGGAGGGCAGGCCGGCGGTGGCCACTGGGCAGACCTGCCCTGTGTGGAGGGCAGGCCGGGGGTGGCCACTGGGCAGACCTGCCCTGTGTGGAGGGCAGGCCGGGGGTGGCCACTGGGCAGACCTGCCCTGTGTGGAGGGCAGGCCGGGGGTGGCCACTGGGCAGACCTGCCCTGTGTGGAGGGCAGGCCGGGGGTGGCCACTGGGCAGACCTGCCCTGTGTGGATGGCAGGCCGGGGGGTGGCCACTGGGCAGACCTGCCCTGTGTGGAGGGCAGGCCGGGGGTGGCCACTGGGCAGCCCTGCCCTGTGTGGAGGGCAGGCCGGGGGTGGCCACTGGGCAGCCCTGCCCTGTGTGGAGGGCAGGCCGGTGGTGGCCACTGGGCAGACCTGCCCTGTGTGGAGGGCAGGCCGGTGGTGGCCACTGGGCAGACCTGCCCTCAGATTATACCCTCAGCCACCATCAGGTCACGCTCGTGTACGATATCGTGGTGGCTGGCGGGGCGTGGGCGTGTGGTGGCCGCGGCTGGCCGTGGGCGGATCACGATGTGGGCGTGTCAGGGGTGGGGTCCAAAGGGGCTGACCAGCGCCCGAAGATCTGGCTCTAAAGCCGGCCCGCTACCCGCTGGACCGGACTGTTATATATGCACGAGCGCCAAGCCTTCCTAGTTCTGCGTCACACCTTACTCGCTACCATTACCATAAGCATGATGCCATCCTGCTAAAGTTTGTAACATGATAGCAATAAGGACACAGAGGGCAACAATAAGGACACAGAGGGCAGCAATAAGGACACAGAGGGCAGCAATAAGGACACAGAGGGCAGCAATAAGGACACAGAGGGCAGCAATAAGGACACAGAGGGCAACAATAAGGACACAGAGGGCAGCAATAAGGACACAGAGGGCAGCAATAAGGACACAGAGGGCAGCAATAAGGACACAGAGGGCAGCAATAAGGACACAGAGGGCAACAATAAGGACACAGAGGGCAGCAATAAGGACACAGAGGGCAGCAATAAGGACACAGAGGGCAGCAATAAGGACACAGAGGGCAGCAATAAGGACACAGAGGGCAGCAATAAGGACACAGAGGGCAGCAATAAAGGCACTGAGGGGGGGGGGGCAGTAAGGACACCGAGAAAAGTTTTACGGCCTAACCACAACCAAATGAATCAGCGACCAATCCCCATACAGTTGAAGAAGCATCACGCTTAAATGATTAGTAATCCTGAGGCGGGGCCAGGGAGCCAGAGCCTACCCAACACAGATAACAGTGTATTTACTGATACCCAAACAACAACATCCCACGCCTTGGTACAGTTTTTGTTTTATGTTTAGAAGGAATTTTTATTTTGCTTTGCACACATGTAATTCCAAGGTACTAATTATGTATTTTTTTGTAAGAATGTTTATTTTGGTAATCTGATTGTCCCGTGAATGTGTGTATTTACAATTTGTATTTGTTATTTGTATCTGAAGAATCGAGCAATTAGCTCTTCGAACCCGACTTTCTAACCAATTTTGTTTTTCCTCTATTATGTCTACTACATATATTTTTACACACACACACACACACACACACACACACACACACACACACACACACACACACACACACACACACACACACACACACACACACACATACACACACACACACACACACACCAGGAAGCAGCCCGTAGCAGTTGTCTAACTCTCAGATACTTATTTACTGCTAGGTAGCAGGGGGCATCAGGGTGAAAGAAACTCTGCCCCATTTTTGTTCCTGCCGGAGCCAGGAATCAAACCCCGGATCATAAGACTACGTAGGCAGCGTGCTGTCCACTTAGCCACCAGCGCCCATGTGTGTGTTTATAGCCTTAAGCAGCAACAGCGGTCCGGCAGACCGACAGCTTCAGGAAAAATTGTCCTAAATTACAGGTGAGTTTAGACCCTCAGCTGACTGATCCCTGATGCTGGGGAGAGGGACACACACACACACACACACACACACACACACACACACACACACACACACACACACACACACACACACACACACACACACACACACACACACACGTGTGTGTGTGTGTGTTTATTGCCTTACCCTATAACAAAAAGTTTAACTCTAAGAAAGGATAGCAATACCCTATTAAGCTTAAGAAAAAGTTCAGTGCTTCTGCTTTCAAGAATCACGCAGCCTTCCCTCATAGTCATCTGATGTGCTGACTAGTCCCATCAGGTCAAGCCTGGAGGTGAATCTTTTGCACATTTCTCAACCTTGCTTCAGGCAGGCCATCCAGGAGAGCGGTGCATACTGAAGATGGGAGAACTTGGCCCTCGTATAAAGTTTTGCAACCGCTGCTGTCAAGAAGGTATGGGCTTTGCTTTAAGGCAGGACGTGTCTGGGAAGCGTTAATGCTTGCCAGGTTAAGCAAGTGACTTTTCATGTTCTCTGAGAAGTCAAACTATTCCCAAGATCTCTGTTTCGTCACTGAACACTCTGATTATGTCATTCATTTGTTGACTTGTCCCAGTTGCAATATCATGCTGTCTCTCTCTCAACCTCTCTCTCTCTCTCTCTCTCTCTCTCTCTCTCTCTCTCTCTCTCTCTCTCTCTCTCTCTCTCTCTCTCTCTGCCCGTATGGGCCTATTGGCCCTCTGATGTTTCCTTAATTCTTTACTTTATACAGTCCGTCCGCCTGCTCATCCTATTTCCTCCATTTCTACATCATTCCTTCACCTGTGCCTCTTTCTTAACCCTCACGCCCTCTTCCCTATACAAACCCATTAAAACCCACTCGAGGTCCCAGCCGGCCACCGTAAACAAACGGTCTGACGTGAGACGTTCAGGACTGTCCCAACACTCAGACTCCTGACGTGAGACGCTCAGGACTGTCCCAACACTCAGACTCCTGACGTGAGACGCTCAGGACTGTCCCAACACTCAGACTCCTGACGTGAGACGCTCAGGACTGTCCCAACACTCAGACTCCTGACGTGAGACGTTCAGGACTGTCCCAACACTCAGACTTCTGATGTGAGACGTTCAGGACTGTCACAACACTCAGACTTCTGACGTGAGACGCTCAGGACTCTCCCAACACTCAGACTCCTGACGTGAGACGCTCAGGACTGTCACAACACTCAGACTTCTGACGTGAGACGTTCAGGACTGTCCCAACACTCAGACTTCTGACGTGAGACGTTCAGGACTCTCCCAACACTCAGACTTCTGACGTGAGACGCTCAGGACTGTCCCAACACTCAGACTCCTGACGTGAGACGCTCAGGACTCTCCCAACACTCAGACTCCTGACGTGAGACGCTCAGGACTCTCCCAACACTCAGACTCCTGACGTGAGACGCTCAAGACTGTCCCAACACTCAGACTCCTGACGTGAGACGCTCAGGACTCTCCCAACACTCAGACTCCTGACGTGAGACGCTCAGGACTGTCCCAACACTCAGACTACTGACGTGAGACGTTCAGGACTGTCCCAACACTCAGACTTCTGACGTGAGACGTTCAGGACTGTCACAACACTCAGACTTCTGACGTGAGACGCTCAGGACTCTCCCAACACTCAGACTCCTGACGTGAGACGCTCAGGACTGTCACAACACTCAGACTTCTGACGTGAGACGTTCAGGACTGTCCCAACACTCAGACTTCTGACGTGAGACGTTCAGGACTCTCCCAACACTCAGACTTCTGACGTGAGACGCTCAGGACTCTCCCAACACTCAGACTCCTGACGTGAGACGCTCAGGACTCTCCCAACACTCAGACTCCTGACGTGAGACGCTCAGGACTCTCCCAACACTCAGACTCCTGACGTGAGACGCTCAGGACTGTCCCAACACTCAGACTCCTGACGTGAGACGCTCAGGACTCTCCCAACACTCAGACTCCTGACGTGAGACGCTCAGGACTGTCCCAACACTCAGACTTCTGACGTGAGACGCTCAGGACTGTCCCGACACTCAGACTCCTGACGTGAGACGTTCAGGACTGTCCCAACACTCAGACTCCTGACGTGAGACGCTCAGGACTGTCCCAACACTCAGACTTCTGACGTGAGACGCTCAGGACTGTCCCAACACTCAGACTTCTGACGTGAGACGTTCAGCACTGTCCCAACACTCAGACTTCTGACGTGAGACGTTCAGCACTGTCCCAACACTCAGACTCCTGACGTGAGACGCTCAGGACTGTCCCAACACTCAGACTTCTGACGTGAGACGTTCAGCACTGTCCCAACACTCAGACTTCTGACGTGAGACGTTCAGCACTGTCCCAACACTCAGACTTCTGACGTGAGACGTTCAGCACTGTCCCAACACTCAGACTCCTGACGTGAGACGCTCAGGACTGTCACAACACTCAGACTTATATCATTATATAAACGTGTACTGTACCTCCTCATCTTGTATGTTTCATTTATTATCATGAAAATAATTATTATTAAAATTATTATTATTAATATTAATTTTTTTGTATTAAAATTATAATTATTATTATTAATTTTTTTATTAAAACTATTATTATTATTATTATTATTATTATTATTATTATTATTTTTATTATTATTATTATTATTAATTCTTTCCTTGTTCTATATTTTATTATGTATATTATTTAATTAACTTCACTGTGCGAATTAGTTTGATGTTTTTATCTAGTCCAAATTTTTACTATACTTTTGTGTTATATGTTAGCTACTTTTATTTTGTTTCTTTGTGTTTAGCATTTTTTTAATAAAAAATTCTTCTTGTTAATTATCTGTTATCAAATTTATTTTTGTTCTTGTTTACTTTGTATCCTGCTGTATCTGTTCTCTATTGTGTCTGTACACTGCTGTATCTGTCCACTACTGTGTCTGTACCCTGCTGTATCTGTTCCCTACTGTGTCTGTATTTTGCTGTATCTGTTCCCTACTGTCTCTGTACCCTGTTGTATATGTTCCCTACTGTGTCTGTATTTTGCTGTATCTGTTCTCTATTGTGTCTGTATTTTGCTGTATCTGTTCTCTATTGTGTCTGTATTTTGCTGTATCTGTTCTCTACTGTGTCTGTATCCTGCTGTATCTGTTCTCTATTGTGTCTGTATTTTGCTGTATCTGTTCTCTACTGTGTCTGTATCCTGCTGTATCTGTTCCCTACTGTGTCTCTATTTTGCTGTATCTGTTCCCTACTGTGTCTGTATTTTGCTGTATCTGTTCCCTACTGTGTCTGTATTTTGCTGTATCTGTTCCCTACTGTGTCTGTATTTTGCTGTATCTGTTCCCTACTGTGTCTGTATTTTGCTGTATCTGTTCCCTACTGTGTCTGTATTTTGCTGTATCTGTTCCCTACCCTGTCTGTATTTTGCGGTATCTGTTCCCTACTGTGTCTGTATTTTGCTGTATCTGTTCCCTACTGTGTCTGTACCCTGCTGTATCTGTTTTCTACTGTGTCTGTACCATGCTGTATCTGTTCCCTATTGTGTCTGTACCCTGCTGTATCTGTTCCCTACTGTGTCTGTATTTTGCTGTATCTGTTCCCTACTGTGTGTGTATTTTGCTGTATCTGTTCCCTACTGTGTGTGTATTTTGCTGTATCTGTTCCCTACTGTGTCTGTATTTAGCTGTATCTGTTCCCTACTGTGTCTGTATTTTGCTGTATCTGTTCCCTACTGTGTCTGTATTTTGCTGTATCTGTTCCCTACTGTGTCTGTACCCTGCTGTATCTGTTCCCTACTGTGTCTGTATCCTGCTGTATCTGTTTTCTACTGTGTCTGTACCATGCTGTATCTGTTCCCTATTGTGTCTGTACCCTGCTGTATCTGTTCCCTACTGTGTCTGTATCCTGCTGTATCTGTTCCCTATTGTGTCTGTACCCTGCTGTATCTGTTCCCTATTGTGTCTGTATCCTGCTGTATCTGTTCTCTACTGTGTCTGTACTCTGCTGTATCTGTTCTCTGCTGTGTATCATGCTGTATCTGTTCTCTACTGTGCCTGTACCATGCTATATCTGTTCACTACTGTGTCTGTACCCTGCTGTACCTGTATACTGATGCATCTGAACTACATACATCTACCACAAGTACTTTTTTGTTACACCTGTTCTGTGCTACAC